GGGGGGGGGGGTCACACCACTTTTTTCAAGTAATGGAATCGATTTTTTTTTCACTTTTCCCATCGAAAAATCGTAATTTGTCGTCTGTAAGTATTCTCGAGCCCACCAACAATCCCGAGTGGAAATTCCGGTCAGATCTTGATCAAGTTTGGATCAGATTAGACCTGACCACTGATCAGGTATTGATCAAGTTGACGCATCCGGTCTTGATCAGACATGTTACGCCTCTGACCAATCCGGATTTGATCAGGACGAATGGATCCGAACTTGATCAAGTCAACTGTATGAAAACCGGATGACGTGTCTGTCAGTATCAATAACAATTATCAATGATAATTAATTAAAAACAAAAGATAATTCAATTCTTTCACCCTAGGTCCCCTCTCTTAATGAATCTCTACTGTTATTACCTCTGAAAAAGCTTATTATTTTTTTACCGATGCTGGGGATTGAACCGAGCACCCTATGATTACTAATCCTATATCCTAACTACTATGCTATCGCGCTATTACTATTGAGTAAACTGTACATTGCCTATGTGATTTGTCTCGGGGTATTCGTTGAATTTACTATTATTCCCGATCTCGCGGATGTGCGTGTGTATTCTCAGAGATAAAATATATTCAATTAAATTTTTATTGATTTCATTAATGAATAATAATAATGATAATAACCATAACACTAATAAATAAATAGACATTTGGTGATTTTTTTTCTCAAGATTATTTACGTAAGTTGTAAGGTGTAAGTGTGATACATCTCTAATACGTATTTACGGCATCATCAGTCCTCCCTTCTGTACATTTGAGAAGGGCTGGGTGTTAATTAAATTGATTAATTACATTGAATTCATTAAATTAAATTAATTTAATTTAATTTATTTTAATTATAGTATAATGATTCTTTTTAAAGATTGAAAATAATTATTGATAATGGTTGATAAAACTTGATTTGAATAGTATAATAATAATTAATCAAATTATCCGATAAACTTATTAAAATTAATGTCAGGTGGACCGGATCAGAATCTGATCATTTTTTCGTCAATTGACCCCGTTCAAATGCCGTTCAAAGACATCTAATCCGAATTTGCTCAAATTGGGGTCAGGCAGCTGACCTCAGGGTGAGATCGTGCTTACCTGATCAGAACTTGATCTGAATCATCCTGCAGTTTTTCGGATCCGATCTACTGGATTAAAACTTGGTCAGGTTTTCATCAGGCATCATCTGATCATGTCTATCTGATCAGAACTTGATCTGAACCCGCCTGTAGTTTTTCGGATTCGATTTGCTGGATCAGAACTTGGTCAGGTCCTCATCAGGCATCTGATCATGTTTGCTTGATCAGAACTTGATCTGAAACCACCTGTAGTTTTTCGGATCCGATCTGCTGGATCAGAACTTGGTCAGGTTTTCATCAGGCATCATCTGATCATGTCTACCTGATCAGAACTTGATCTGAACCCGCCTGTAGTTTTTCGGATTCGATCTACTGGATCAGAACTTGGTCAGGTTCTTATCAGGAATCACCGGATCAGTCGAATCTTACAAAAACCTGATCAAGTTCTGATCGTGCTTCAGGTGGGCCTGAAGCAATTTCCACTCGGGAATCCTCCAATATCAGCTGCCATTCTATCATATGGGGTTATGTTTAGAGAGAAAAGGGAACCCGGGCGGTACAAATTCAAAACATTAAACACATAAATTGATTAGTTATCGATATCCATTCAGCAGAAATGAAAATTGCTTTGAATTCGGGCGCAACGCGCGAGGTATCTTATTTGAAACCCACTGATCCCTATTTTTCTCCTCTCTATGGACGCGCGTAGTGGGGGCATAGGGGTTCCCGGAATTCTGCTCTCCTACTGTCTCTAAGGTATCTTATACGAAGCCTCTACTGTATATCTTTTAAAAACGAGCAGTTCCACGCCAAATTCAAAACCAAAAAAAGCTGAACATCAGACAAACATGTTCAAAGAAAATCATTGAAAAATACTGATAATTGCGGAAGTCGTGTTGCTTGAAAATGTTACATTATTATTGACATTTTCGCCTCCTTTAGAGCTGTCGAATTTTTCTCTTCCAAACATTCGAAAAAATATGTACTGATTACTTTCCGCCCAAGGGCGTAAAATCAGTACTTTCCTCCCTCGGAAATAACTATCCACCCTTGAGCAGAAAGTATTCACTTTCCTCCCGCTCATCAGAAAGCAAAATACAATCTTTGCGCCTACGCAGTGGGATAAACAACCCTTACCCACGTACTTACCAGCCTCACCTTCGACTCGGGTGTTAATTCTACACATGGGACACGACTCCTTTATTTTTCTTCCTTGGAAACATGACTTTCCGCCGCTGATGCACAATAGTATATTCTTCTGTTTTCCCCACCCGGGGTGCACATGCGATTTTGTAATACGCCTGCAAAGAAAAATTTGTATTTTGCTTTCTGATGAGCGGGAGGAAAGTGAGTACTTCCCGCCCGCGGGTGGGTATATATTTTCCGTCCCGGCGGGCGCAAAGTTACATTTCTTCCCGCTTCGCGGAAGGGAACTCTGACTTTGCGCCTACGCCGTGACGGAAAATCGCGTTCTAACCACGGGACGTCAAATAAAGGACCCTCAGCCGCGTGCTTACCAATCTCGCCTTCGGCTCGGCTGGTAATTGCACTGGCGGCTGAGGATCCTTTATTTTCCCTCCCTAGGTTAGAAATATACTAATAGGTTGATCTATGTATTTTACCATTTTGAGAAAAAAAAGTTCAAAAAAATTATGTATTTATGATTAAACGAGTAACTTTGAACTTCCAACTAACAACTAATATCAGTATAAAACGAGAAAAGTGAAAACATTATTCAAAAATTGATTTCCATTCGGTGCGAAAATTTGACATTTAGAGGTTAAACACAGAAATTTTGACCTAGCCGAATTTTCAAGGAATTTTAATTTTTGATCGGTGCAAAGATGCACAGAACAAAAATTGTTTAAATGTTTGACATGGTGAAAAGTAAAAATTCCAATTTTTTCAGATTTTTTCTCAACAACGTTTCAGCGTAAAAAATAAAAATCGAGACAGAAAGTCGCTCGTGCCATGACGCGACCGATCGAGGGTTAAAAAACATCGATTATCGAAGAATTGATGTTTTTCAAAAACATCGATGTTGTGAATCGATTTTTCAGGAAAAAACATCGATTATTTAAAAAATCAATGTTTTTCTCATTACACAGGAGAAAAAACAATTTTTTTAAGAAAATTTTTTTCTTCTCGTTTTTATTGAAAAAGATATATTCAAAAAATACAACTCGAAAATCTTACTTTTCGATGATAAGTACTGCTGGAGAGTTAAATTTTGAATCTCGAAACGGGGTTTTTGATTAATTGAAGACAATATATTGAATATTTTCCGTTAAAAATGAAGTTCGTTAAAAATAAAAAAATATGTATATATTCGTCATTTCAACGATGATTTTCGATAAAAATTACAGATTTTTTAAAAATTAGGTTTTTGAGATTATCACGATT